ACATGAATTGACCAAATCCTCTGGAAGTTTCCTCTGAAGTTCATTCATATTTGGAGCACCAAACACATCTCTGGGCAACATGTTCCAGTGCCTCACCAACTTCATAAAAAAAAAATTCTCCCTTCTATCTAGTCTGAGCCTACCCTCTTTCAATTTAAAGACATTTCCCCTTGTCCTATCATTCCATGGCCTTGTAAACATCTCCACCTTTCTTGAAAGCCCCTTTCAGATACTGGCCATCTGCTCTAAGGTCTCCTCTTCTTTTCTTCAGGCTGAACAACCCAACTGAACCAGTCTGTCTTCCCAGGAGAGGTGCTCCAGACCTGGGACCATGTACGTTGCCTCCTCCAGACCTCCTCCAACAGATCCTTGTCTTTGCTGTACAGAGGAGATTCCAGAGCTGGATGCAGTGCTCCAGGTGGGATCCCAAAGTTATTCAAAGTAACAGAATTTGTTATAACAATGTCATTTCTAATTAACAGAGATGGATGCTCATCTGCCACTTTAGTCCACACATATAACCAAACAAATCACAAAGTACTTAAGGAAAGGTAACAATCTCATTCCTAGTTTACCTCTCCATGGTTTTCAGTGAACAAAGGTTATGCCACCAAGATTCACCTGTCCTTCCCCAAGATGTGAGCTTTACTATCATATCTATTTTATAAAATATAGTAATTAAGAGAATTAGATAGATATCTATGGATAACCATATGGGAATACTAAACATTTTACAAGAACAGGTAGCAATGCATGTAGAAAGCACACTGGTCTGCCTAATAAAAGTGTGTGGTGTTTCTCCTTTCTTCCATCAGTCCCTACCACCAGTTCCAACAATGAATCTTAGTATTATTCCTTCTCTTTTTAGCTTGATTCACATGCATTTACCCTCTCTTCTGAGAGGCTGCTGAAAACTACTCAAGAAAGTCTGCATCCTTACTCGACTTGTAAATTTTTTCAATTCCATTTAAAAATTGAGGTTTGACTTAAAGGTCCCATTTGGCATAGCCATGGAACAGGATTAGGTGATACTGTTGCATCTCTTAGTTGTGGATTAGACTTGCTAAGCCAGAACATCCTCTTCTCTCTGAAGCTGTAATTCAACCTTTACCTTTTCAGCTAGTCCTAAATTGTCTCTTCCACACTTAACAAAGAGAAGCTCTAATTATTTTTTATGAATAGTCTACTCTAGTGCTACACTTCTTATAGTGTGTGTTTTTACTAAAACATATCCTATTCAGCCCTTCTCTTCATGACATCCACATTCTTCTATTTTTTTTGTTCATTCTCTCTTTTGGTTCATCCTCAAACATACTTCCTTGTCTAGTCCTATCATTTAATTAAAAACAGCCTAGTAAAACATCTTCCTAATTTCTCTTTTTTACTTCCCTCTGGATTCTTCCTAATCAGCTCTTTAATCTCCTGAAGTTATCAATATCACAAATATATAATGGAATTTCTGGGTGCACCATCTCTCCTGCTAGGGCCACATTCTCCTTACATGGCACTCCCCAACTCAACTTCTTCCATCATTACTTCTCATCTGTGACTTCAACATATAATGCTTTTGAAATGAATTTTGAATTCTCCTTTCAAACTGAAATCCTCACCCATTTTCAACTTCAGAACTCTGATTCCCTGTGGAGGAACAATCACTTGGGGGAAAAATCAGCATGGTAAAAATTGAATATAGTAAATTTTATTCATCCAGTTTTAAATTCAAAAATCTCTGCAGTCAGTTCCACTGTTCCTGACTTATATTAAAATCCATTATCTTAGAACCTAATACCTAAAAAGCTGGTAAATTCTATCAGTTCTCATGTCAGTGTTGTCAGAATACAGTGTTTTCCCCTAAAACTTGGCATGCATCTTTATATAAATTCATCATATTTCCCATGAGGACTATTGTAGTGCTTCTTGCTCTACCCACTATACTTCTTGCCTTGCTACTCTTGAGTTTACTCAAAACAGTGTATGTTTTCTCTTTTCTGCCTCTTAAAACTCAGAGCTGCTACTTTTCATTCAGATTTTCATCTGGAAAATTGATTTGGTTTTTCTCTCCATCTACTTCCTGACTTTTATCCTTAACTCCACATGATGCTTCCTATCTGTTTACTCCTGAAATCATATTTTCTGTTATCTTGGTGCTTTCTTTTAATGTGCTCCTTGTAAAATACAGGAACGTTTCTCACAAACATGTAAAAATATTCAGGCACATATGACAATATTTTGCAAATCAGATAAAACGATCCTGATTATGGCAGTACAAGTAGCCATTCATCTCATTAATATCTAGAGAATCTAAATGTACTATGCTTTTTTTTTAATTTATTCATTTGCAGGAAGAAATCTTACAAAGAAGACTCATGCCCAGCTTTCAGCTACTTAATATGAAAAAAAATCCTAACATATTAATTAAGTGTAAATTCTGTAACATCATGACAGGTTTGAAAAACAAAGAGCCATATAAAACTGGTCATATTTGCAACCTCCTTCACCTGTAATCGTGTCTGTATGCCAAACAGCAAAGTACAGCATTTTCCACTGATACCAGGTAATTAAGGGTTTACTTTCACTGGTGCCAAGATCTGACTCTGAGTCACAATTACAGCCCATTTTTGCTATCCTTTCTTGTTAAATCAAGAAATCCCACGTTGAGTTACAGCCCCTAAAAATCAACTAACCTTTCAATATTGAAGCTGGAATGAGACAATACAAAAATCCCATGAGTATGAGCTGAAATTAGTTGCTGGATTGAAACAGCTGGAGGGGGGAAGGGAGACAGGTCTGAAGGAAGCTTGAGAGCAGCAGGACTCCCTTCAGGAGAGAAAGAGAGAACAGTTAGTAAAAGGAATCAGAATAAATAATGTGAGAAGAACAGAGTCTGTAAAATGAAAAGGGGATAAAAAGAGAGGGTAATAATAAGTCTTACTGAAAAGTGAAATAGAAAACACAGAAGAGAACAAAGGAGTGGAACTGGTGATGCTCCAAGATTTTAAGTAGAATCTTATCTCTAAAGCTGTAATTGTTGCCTCTGATTAAAGTGTAAAACACTGAGAAAGACATGTTATTACAGAATAAACTAACATGGAGATTTGGGAGTTTCGTGTAAGGCTGGGATAAGGAGTCACTCAGACTAGGTACAGCGAGTTCCTTAAGTGATCTGAGCCCAGCTATGCTGACAAGGGGACATTCCCCAAAACCTGCAATTGCACAGGACACAGCAGTAACTCAAGATGCAAAGGATACTGGTGCTTTAGTCAGCATTATGTTTATGCACATCTCATGGACTGCATCTACTAATATTAATGCAATTTCAAATTTCTTCTCAATGTAATTCAGCTTCTCAGACCAGACAGGTATCAAGCACTGATCCAAGCACTAAATCAAGGACAGCTTCAACCTCTAAATATATGACACCTGTTTGGAAGTACATACAAGTAAAAAGAATATATTTTCAAAAATGCAGATGCAGGCACTAGTTCTTGGGAAGGTGCTACCTTTCTGATACAGCATGAGGCTAGGACCCAAAATATGCACAGCCACTAAGTGCTAAGATAATCTAAGACTTAGTATTGGTAATTGCCCCCTTGCATAATAAAATTCTTGGTGCTGTTTCAGTTTGATATAACATGCTTTTACATTATTTCCTAAGCTAAAGAGGTGAAAATTTACACACTTTTGCAGTACACACCTCCTGCTGCTCATTGGTTATGGGTTAGTGTGGCTAGTAAGATTTGACCCCAAGGGAAGAAATATTAGAACTACGATATCTTCATACTGGATAACTCTGTAGGAAAAGCATGTGCATTAACTACATGCCAGATGCAAAATAAAACCCAATTTAAGTAATTCCTCTATTTGTTCAGCAGTGTTACTGAAGTGCTATTATAACTATGCAAAAAAACTGAGTAAAATTTCCATGTGCCATTATGTGGGACATAATATAACATTATAATTTATTATTTCTGTAATGCTGCTGACTACCTAGAAAATACATAATATTAGTATTTCACACGTACTTCACAGAAGTAATTCTTTAAACAGAAGTCCTAGGACCAAATCCTAACCTAATGGCTATAAAAGGTTCTCATTCACGTTTTTTCCACACTGAAAAAAAGTCAGACCAGATCTGTGAAAGTTAGGAAAATTTTATAGTCACTGGGGTCAGAAGAAAATGCCAGCCAACAAACTGTGGAAAGGATATAGAGTTATTGTGGGAACTGCTGGACACAGCAAGTTGCATTTCTGCAAGACACCTTATCATCACTCTATTTATTTAGTGTACTTCCTCAGACACTTCTACAACAACTTACTTATAGAAATGCTCCCTCACCATGAAACATACACTGCAAGTTAGAACATAAATTTATAACTTCTGCAATAAGAAATTGCAGTTAGAGATTCTAAAAAATGCTGGTCATCTCACTATCATATCCTCAGTGACACAGATTAATTATGATTGCATAGTTTCCTCTGAAGATAACAGGAGGACTTGATGATTAGTTCAACACTGCATTTGACTGAATGGCTTGTTGCATTTTCTTGTAGAACACTATCATCATCTGGTGGTATATTTTGCTGCTATGTAAACTGCAAGCTATGAAGATGAAAGCATTTCATTTACTTAGCATTAAACATTTAGGAGAAGACATAGATTCACCACCTTGCAGTTATGCCAAACTATGTGGGAGTGGAAAATGCAGTAACATGAAATTAACTTGACAGAACTGCTGAGGATTTTGAGAACAAACAAATGTTGACATTTTACATGAATGAAATTTGAGTACTTCCCTGTCCAGAAGTAAAAGACAGACTAAATAAAACAATATTCTCATTCATACTATCTACAATGATAAAAAAAAACTTCACAGGTTTTTCAAACAAAAGCATTTTTCACATAGTTTTTCTTATAATTGGAGGTGGAGATCTCACATGCAAAAGTCAATTATTTATTATGCCATTCAAGCAGAATCTACATAAATGAGTTGTTGACTTACGTGGTAACTTTTCAGTCTAACAAAATCGACTTTCATGGAGATGAACCTTTCTGAATTTCTGCTGAGATTTTTAATGTGCTCCACAAGATCAGCACAGAACTTGTAGCCACCTTTGAGGACACAGAGAACCACAATATCATTGTCTCCAATGTCTTGCATAATATCTTTTGCCAGTCGTTCTGTCCTGGGCAAAAAAAAAATTGAGATAAAATAACTTTAGGTGCAGATGCTCTAAGTTCATGGTGTGCTTTACAAACACTATACTGAGTATAAAGCTTGACTGGCATTGCTTAAGAAGCCTGACTTCACAGAATCACAGAGTGATTTAGATTGGAAAAGACCTTCAAGATCTTCAAGCCCAACCCTTGGAGTGATCACCACAATGTCAGCTAGACCAGAACAGTAAGTGCCATGTCCAGTCATTCCTTGAACACCTCCAGGAATGGTGCCTCTACCACCTTCCAGTCCATTCCAGTGCTTGACTGGGTTTGCATCCAGCTCACAGATGGCAGATCCAAACAGACAGTGATGGATGCAAGATGCAAAGCACTTGAATCTAAGTTAACCTTAGATGCATAAAGTGAAGTTAAATTTAACTAACCATTTAAGTTAACCTTAAATGCATAAATTCCCCAGCTATACAAACAGCACCTACACATCTCAGCATATTTTGGGCTCATAAATATGTCAGAGACTCGAGAGAAAATAATGTGAACTAGTCTTCCATTTTACCTCACAGGAATTATCAGTATAAAATATACCTGCACAAACACCCAACTTGTTATGTTAGTTACTGCACAAGAAGAAAAAATTAAGTGAAAGATAGGGAAGAATATTTGAAACTTTCATGCTGATTGGCTTTGGAAGATGCTACCCTTACAGTTTTAATAAAAAACATACATAAAAACTAGAAAGAAATAGAGCATCAATGAAAAGCTTATAAAGAGTGTATATTATCACTATTCTGTACAGCTCAGTGCTTCATACAGCAGAAATGAAGAGTGCAAAGAGCTTCAGTGACTTGTTCAAGGTCATAATTGAGTGAATGCTCCAATGAGCCCAGAATTGTGGAGTTCCCAACCAAACCTATCCTCTCTGGCAATTCTTCAGGGCAAACACAATGTGGCAGATGATTGGAAACAAAAGATACACATTTGTGCCACACAATGCTACTTACATTTTCAAGATAAAAATAAGAAATAACAGTCTTAATAATAAATGTAAATAATAAATATTAACTTTAAAGATAGCATTTCTAGACCCCCAATAGGGTACTGGGTCAACTGGGTCATTTCTAGATGTAAGTATCAACAGAAAACTTCACAATGTTGTTTGTTGTTTTGAGGAAAAACAGCTCAGAGCATTATATTCTGTAAATACTTCCACTGGAAAATTATTTGATAGGTCTCTGAATTAGATTAGTAGTTTCAATGAGAGTGAACTTGTTGACAGGATTCACTTTATTAAATAATCCTATAATTTATCCCATGTATTTTATTATTACATTTTTCAGGTTTGGTTGTTTTTTTTCTTTATTAGCTGTAATACAGAAATCAGTTTGCCCCTACATAAGTACCTTGATTGAACTGTAGTGAAATCTGTGCATGGACCAGAGGAGAATAACCTCTAGACTGAAGATAAGTATAAGAAACAGCTGTTGCTTAATTTTCACATATTTTAATTTTAATGCTCTCTATATATATAATTATTGCTCTATAATTATTGCTCATGTAGCAATAATTATTATATTTTTATATGAGAAATAGAAGATATTAGAAATATTAAATTATTTCATTTGATCTGAAATATATAATTCCTTTTAGTGCTGTAAGAATGAGGATCACTTACTTTACTGAAGATTAATAAAACAGTCTTTTATCATCTTTTATCAAGTCTGAGAATGGGGAAAACCTCTTATTAAGAAACATTTCTTTGATAAATTTTCTTTTTTTATATTGTTCCTCAGATTGTTTACAGCTGAAATTTCCAGGAATACCAAAGACCATTTTGTATGTTAAAAGTGTAGGAACTCCAGCATCGACTAAAATGTACTAATTTAAATTTCTAAATAAAAATATCCAAGTTTTTAAACTTACAATATGTACTGTATATAGATGACAGCCTTCATAAAAAAGAATAATACTACTGACCAAACAATTTATTTAGTAACATTCAAGCTACACATACCTGTCAACAATAATGCCATGAGGAATGAGCACATATTCCAGGTCACCATAGTAGTGCTGAGGATAAGTGAACAAATCCAGACTGTATCCAGGCCAATTGTCTGAAATCTGAATATCAAACAGTACTGTCAAGAACACTTCATGGTGTTTGACATTATGTAACTGATACACAATCAGCATTCTAGTACTATTCTAGTACATTCTGTTGGATGGATTCATTGTGTGCCATACTTTCTTCCAGTTACAATTTACTATTTTGCTTTTCCCATTAATTATTTTGCTTCTCAATATAACTCAGAAATCAAATGCTACAGTTTTTTACCCACAGAATGTGGGAAATGTCACCTGAAATTACAAAGAACTAGACAGACAAAGGAAATATTTAATGCTAAACTAGTGGCAAAAGTAAATTTCTAAGTACTTTCAAACTCAAAGTGCAAATATAATATTGCCAGTAAGAAGGGATTTTCCAATGGGAGATTCAATGGTAGAATTAAAAGTCATAAAATTCTATATTAAAATTGTACATTCCTAGTTTAGAATGACTTAAAGTCATAAATAAATAAATATATAAGTATTCAACAGATGAAACAGTGCATATGGAGAATAATTTATGTGGTTCATGGATGGTATTTGTACAAATCATGTGAAAAACTGTACTTCTTCCTAAAGGTAAGGTTCTTAATTTAGATGACATCAAAGATAAGTGATTACAAAATGTTTTCATCTCACCTCACCTCCCCATGAAACTAGTCTGTAAATCCATATATTCACAGAAAAAATATTTTACAGACTTAATATACATTGGTTTTGTAAGTGTCAGAATACAGGGATTAGATCTCACAAGATACAAGGTGGTAGAGATTAACAAGGTCAAAAGTTAGCCAATGATTGAAGGCTTCAGGAAGCTACAAAATGCAAAGTCTCCAGCACAAAAACTAAACCAAGTCCAAAACAAACATTTTCCCTATTCCTTCTGAAAGACAAGACCCTCAGGTTCACAAGGCACCTTGAAATCATTAGAAAGCTTTGCTTCAATACTGGTTCAAGATAAAAAGCAACACCTAATAGGTTTTCCCTACAATCATAATCCTCAAGTCACACATTGTCTTTCTAGAGCTTGGCTACAGGAATCTTGAGTCCATGGAGAAATGGTGACAAGCTTGCCATTGTGCAGTGCATGTCTTAATGGCATTTTTGCTACAGACAATCTTTAAAGGACCATCACTGAAACCTCTGCTTGCCATTTTATTGTAGAGCAATAAATGTTTTCTCACAATTTTGGCTAAGATAACGTATTTGATGTTGAGCTGTTCCTCCACAACCCCTCTTTAACTCAGACACGGCCCAGCCTCATGCTGTACTGAAACACTGTCCTGCCCTGTGGATTTTGTGTTGCTTGGGGGCTTTTTTTGCATATTCCCTGACAGCTACAGGCACCTTGACTGGCATGTTTTCTTAACCCTACCCAAAAATTTCTGCATCAAAAAAGTTACTTGTTGGCAACTGCTACTGAATATTTGCCCACGAAGGGCATGACTGGGAGATCACTGGAATCCATGAAAGCTTTTCCCCTGACTTACACAAGCCTTGAAACTACACAAAAGAAAAAAAGTTACTTAGTTGTGTTCCTCATTTCCATAGAAACAGGAGATTATAAATATCCTCCTTGGCAAGGTTTTTAATTAGAGCAAATCTTGTCCCAGAAACACTGCAGCAGTCAGCCTGCAAAGAGTTATTTTTCCATCTACTTTTTCAGGGCATGGGGGGCTGAAACTTTCTAAACATTTTTTAGAAATGAACGGTCTATTCAAAAGCATTTTAATGCAAACTGAAACAATTTCATTAAGTGTTACAAACACCCACTAGCAACCTCTGTCAGTGTTGCTTACTTCTGCATTCTTGTCAAACTGCAGGGTTTCAGTGTGATGCAGATGAAATTAAATGGATAGAAGCTGCTTTAGAATTCATACAAACCAATAACTTTTACTTAGGTTACAGTAAGTCCTTTATAAAACAGGATCAGGATGAAATTTTGATAAATGAGAACCATTTATCCTTCTGGTTCTCTAGAATAGCAGAACATAAACAGTGTAACACTACAACAATATTGAAGTTCTTGTTTACAAGTGCTTGCTGGCATTTGACAAATAAGATGAAATTCACGTGTACCTTCAAGTTAATTATTTGTCTGATATAATAAGCCTATTTCATATTCTTCTTTCTTTTAAACAGGCATTTCCCAACAAGCCTAAGAAATTCTCATTTATCCTAAAGCTATTCACAGTGCTATGCTATAGGACAAATTTCAAGTAACTGCAAATTCTTATGACTATTCTGTTTAAGAATTTAAAAGGCCCTTGAAAATACGAAGGAAAAAATTCATATTGTTTCAGAAAGAAAAAAGTGTTCAACTGGTAAGTAAATATATATTCTAAACACATTGGCATGCTCGTGTGTAAAAAAATTCCTGCAGTGAAAGAAAGACCTACTTTTAAAGTTCAGCTTTGCATGTTTGAATAGCCCAGCAGATACTCTTCAGTAAGTCTTTAAAAAGTTGATGTGAATGGATACAAAAAGGAATACAAATACATGGCAATATCCAAAAGTGTTCCCCTGAGGCCTAAGAGACAAGCTGAAGCCATTCAATTGCAACACCTTTAGAAGAATGTTGTTTGTTTTCTTGTCTGGCAAAGTGAGCACAGGTGAGATTGAGCTCAGTCCTCAGCTCCAAGCAGCATGAAGCAAAGTCCAGCTTTTGTAACTTAAATGATGCTGCACTGGACTTACTGCTGGTGGGGTTTTTGGGGAGCAGAAAAAATTAAACCAGTGCAGCAGAACATGGTCATGCACATTCATGTCCTTCTTTGCAATAACCTCTTGTTGCTTGGTGATACACACAGTCACCCACTTAAGGAATGTCATTTATCACACAGGTGTCAGGAGACGTGGTTGCTGTGTGGTGTTTTCAGACAGAGCTGGAACACACGGGACAGGTCCCTCAGAAGGGGGATGCAGGGGATGTTGGAGTGGACAGTGTGACCACTGCTGACACAGAGGGCCCTGGGTCATGATCTGGGCGGTTCACCTGTGAACTGTTAAAATCCTAATGCCACATTAAAATAAGAACATACCTAAGGTGGTGGCAGTGATGGCATTTCCTTCACAGGAGAATCTAGGGTGTCTATCAGAATAAGGATCACATTCATTCATTCATTTTTGCACCATTTATCCATCCCTACAGGCACTCCAAACGCCCGGCCAAGGCTCGGGCTGTTTCCCACCCTAACAGAACACGGGCAGCAGCCCAACCCTCTCTCACGGCGCCCGCAGACTCTCTCTCAGAGTTCCGGTGGGAACATCCATTTCGGGATGCCCGGGGATCCTCATCCCCGGCACTCGAGAAGCCTGGGGAAGCACAGCCACGGCCACAGGAGCCGCTGGGATGGTACCGGACTGCGTTTTCACGGCGGAAGCCAAAGGCGCGGCCCAGCCCAGCACGCCCGTCCCCTCCGGCAGCCGCAGCGGGGCCGGGGCCGGCACAGAGTGAGGGAAGGCGGCCCAAGCGCCGGCCGGGGGGTCCGGAGGAACCGGGGGAAGGGAAGGGCGCGGGAGTTCACCACAAAGCGCCGGGGGGTTTAGGGAAGGGGGCCGGGGACCGGGGAGGCGCCGCGGCCGGCGAGGGGCGAGCGGCCGGGCCGGGCCGTGCCGCGCTCCGCATTTACCACTACGCCGCGGCCTCCAGCGCTGCTCCCGCCCTGCCCCGCCATGTTCCTGCGCGCGCCCGCCCGCCCGGGGGGCTGCGGCGGGGCGGGGCCGCGGCGGTTGCGGGGTGCGCGGGGCGGGGAGCGGGATGCGGGATGCGGGTGGGGGGTGCGGGGTGTGGAATGCGGGATGTGGGGTGTGGGATGGACGGTGCAGGATGCGGGGTGTAGGATGTGGGGTGCGGGATGGACGGTGCGGGATGAAGGATGGGCGGTGCGGGATGCAGGATGAGTAGTGCGGGATGCAGAATGTGCGGCCCGAGATGCGGGATGCAGAATGGGCGGTGCGGGGTGCAGGATGAGCTAGTCCGGGATGCAGGATGGGCAGTGCGGGATGCAGGATGGGCAGTGCGGGATGCCGGGTGCAGGATGGAAGCTGTACGGGTATAGGTACGGTCGGAATGGTGGAAAGGCTTTGGCAGGGCTGGCCAAGGGGCCTGGCCTGGGTTAATTGTTAATATTAAGCTGGTGTGGTTTAAACTACCGTTTTAACTGGATTTTCTTGTACTCCAGGGAAGTACAAGGGAAGGAAAAATAAAATTTCCAACAGTTCAGTAATCATACTTTCCATTCTCGCTGTCTTCTGGAGTCGCTGCTCCTTCCCACCACCGTGCACATGCTGGGGCAGGCTGTGTTTCCTATTGCCCCCAGCCCATGCCCGTGTTGCCTGTGCTCTCTGTGCAGTTGAAGATAAACAGATCAGGCACCAGGAACAGTGCAGTTCTCTGCCACTACCTTCCAATTCTGTTAAAATTATTATTGATATTTTGCTTTCACTGCCTCACAGATCAGAAGAAGCTTGGTTTTTTCTTGTCTTACTCTGATCATTGCCTGCCTTTACTTTCCCATATAAGAAGTTGAAATTTGGACTTGCTCCATCCTTTTTGTATCCTGTCTTTTGTGGAAAATGGTAGCAAGCCTCTCTGCCCACTGTGGATAAAAATAGAGCTTTTCACCTTCTTAAAATTGAAAGTTGGTTATAATTTCTAATACCAATCTGTCAAATACACAGCTGGTAGAATTCTGCCATTCCTATCCTAGAATATATTAAAGGAAGAAAAAGTTCTTTTTAAGGGAGACCTAGGCATAGTGAAATATTCTAAGTGCTACCTGAGGGGCTCTCACCAACCAAGTAGGAAATGTTTCAGGCTGGAGCACTGCTATTCTAGAATGTGGTCATTGTCACTTCTGGTCACAACAGATGGATCCAGGGAGAAGTTGTGGGTAGGTCTACACAGCGAGTTTGGTGTCCAATGTTGACTGGTTTACAGGTGCATCCTGTTAATGTACCCTCATGAGAACTGAGAGGACAATTCTTAGGAATCTGGTGTTAAGAATGCTTCTATAAATTAATCACTAAATAAAATCTGGTGAAGTGCTAGAGCAGTTGAAGATTATTTTGTGATAAATGCTTTGTTTCTTATATTAAGCCAGGGGTTTTTGATGAATTAAGGAAGTGTTCTTTCAAGCACTATTGCTACAACAGACAGCATGTCTGAAAGAACAAAAGACAAGGTTTACAAAGTGTCAGAAGTCCACTTCAGAATATATCTGTCTCAAAGTGGTGCCTGTATATCAAGACTCAAGTGTGCTGAGAAAAAATAGTTCCTGTTCCTGTAAAATAATAAGTAGTGAATCTGATAAACAGCATATGCAGACTTGTACAAACCAACATAAATCAAATAAAAATTTTCATAATGGACAAAATCCCTAAATAGGGATTTCGATTCCATGTCAACATTTCATACAACTATTGAGAAAGAAAGTTTAATGTGTCATCTGATCTTTGGGTTAAATGCTCCTGATATGTGTCCACACTTTTCAGGATTTGAAGACTCTCCTTGTCTGGAAGAATGCCTCCCAAAGCCAATATTTGCCCTAAAGCCAGCACAGTCAGAATCAGTTACCACCAAGTTGCCAATGAAGCTGCTGTTGCAATTATTTCACAGTGCTGAACCCTGTGGATCTGAAGCTATTTAGATTACAGCCAGAAACTCAAATCAAATTCTGCCACTCCTATATTAGGACTGTTTTCTTCTACCTTTCAGACTATTTGGGTTACTGCTATCAGTGCTTTCTGTAATTTTTAACCATATTCTTTATCAGACTACTGCAATATGGGGGATTGTTCTGACTAACTACAGACAGATGATTAATGCTTTGAAAAGCATTAACATGAGCAGGACACTAAAAAGTAAATTCCTTCAGCATTGTGCTAGAAAACTCAAGCAGGAGATGCTTGTTCTTCCTATCAATATTGGATGAATGTGTCTGTCGAGTCTTTGTTTTGATATTCTTATCTTCCAGTAATTTTACAGGGCTCACTTAAGAAGTGTAATGAAGTGTCATGTCTTGCTAATAACAATAAATATGAGTAAGGAAATGAAAGCCTAGATAAATTTAGCTGGGGTACACTTCGATAGTACTGCTGTCAGCAGCCACACATCCAACCCACAAAGCTGTTTCTTCTCGATGGAAGATTTTTTCATTGGCACAAAAGGTAATACATTTTGTTTCGTTTTGTTGCAAATGACACAAATACATAGTTCTGTGAACTCACAGAATTAGTACAAACCAGAATTAATGAGGTTCTTTGTGCATGATGGAAATGAAGCTGCTAAGGATTTTGTTATGGAGCAATATATATATTAGTATACTTACTGAATGTTTGCATTTTCTTTTACAGTATGAACTGGTATAGAATGAATGAATTTACAGTAGACTTTCAAAACTTATTTTAATTAGGGCCAAAATATGATTAGTGAATATTATATATTTGGGGCTTAACTATGAAAAAGCCTGTAAACATTCTGAAGAATGTTCTTATTATCTTTGTTTAGCTGTTTGTTTATGAACTAAAAATAGGAGGAAAAGAATAAACATTTCTAGATATACAACCAGGGGAAATGATCAAAGGGGAGAAGAACAAAGAAAATAAGAGTAGATGATACTAACAAGTAGGACTGGGTAGGTCTGGACACATAGCCAAGAGCCATAAAGGACCAGATGGAAGTGACACACAGGGAAACAAAGCAGGGTTAAGACTGGTACAGAAATGCCATGTGAATGTATTTATGCTTTTGGCCTTTACACAACTTTATAATTTCAATTAGACATCTATTTCTCTCTTACCATGTTACTGATAAAAGTAGGACATGTCCACCCTTTCAGAATTTTAATGTAAAGAAATACTGAAAATAAAAGGTTGGGGGCAGGGATATACCAGGAAAGCAGTCCAAGGCAAATACCATTATGGAGTTACCCGTAAGCAACCTTTACAACTGCATTATGTATTCTGCTTCCAAGAAGCTATTACAAACATTTGACAACTCAGTCTAATATGTAAACACCAAAACTAGACAAGAAAAGCATGAAAATCCAGAATATTTCAAGAGGTATGGCTTACCTAGGTAGAAGCTTGCCAATTAGGGGATGAAGTAAGAGCTCTTTTTCTCGTTCTGCCTGTTGCTGCAGCTGTTATGTGAACAGCAGAACTGTAAACAATCTTATCAAGCATAAACTTGCATTTCTTAGTGGTTACAAGGTAAGCTACAACACACACACACCCCCCCAATTGTGGCAGAGAAAGACATTTTTGGGTAAAATGGTTACTGAAGAGATTATTAAAAGCAAAAGAGTAGCATATGTACAGTACTTTAGGGCATGCTGGAAATAATTCTAAACTGTTTGCATATCCAGTTTTAATATATTCCAGAATTTTGAGTTCTTGTGTATTACCTGAGGCAGTGACCCAGTGCACAGGGTGGCTGCTGGAGACCCTGAGTGCAGCAGAACATGTCTGGCAGACAGTGTCCCAGACATTTGGGAGAACATGAAGCAGGATTTCAAGCCATTCCCCTACAGTAATGAACACAGAGAGGCCATAGGAAATGCTGCCCCATTAGCAGGGCTAGGGAGCATCCTGTGATGTGCAGCAGAAGAGATGCACATTGGTTTCTGTGACTCCTGTGCTAGAGCAGGTGACAGAGTGGCACTGCAGGCTGGACTCTGGCTTCTGTCTACTTCAACTTCAGCAGAATTACCATCATTTTAGAGGAATTGGAAAGTTTAGCTTTGAAGCAATTGCAGCATTTAAGATCTACAAGGGAAGCTTGGTCACAGTTAACTTGTACTGAGTCTGTGAGACTGACTTAGGCTTTGAAAATTAAATGCAGTAACTTTGATATCAAGAAAATGGCTAAAAGCTGCCATTCAAGATGCTAGTCTATTTTTTCAAGTATTTATAACCTTCAGATCAATGTTAGGCACTGCTTGACAGAACCCTGGGCTTTGACTTATTTGGTCTATGATAAACATCTTTAATACAAAACTACATTTTTGTTTGTTATTAATCTCACTGTGCCAAACTAGAGCAGCGAGCTTTGCTTTGCAATTTCCTGGCTCCTGAAGATACCCTTCCTGCTTTTCAGGTTCATGTTATTAATATAAAGTCCTTATAGCTGAAAGAAATGCAAACAGAAATTTCCTCTTCTCCTTCAATACTAGAATAAACTTTATATTCTTTATAACATTATGGAAATATTTGCCCTACCCAGCTATTTAGAGGTATTGACGTTTGAATAATAAAGCACAGTTTTAAGGAATGCTGCTCACATCATATCCTATGACAAATTCATCATGCATGACCATGAAAACTAGTCAGGGAGTTGTAACTATACACTAGGTCACACCCAATGTAATGTATTTAACTGTTAGAGTTTGTTTTCTTTTTAAAAGAGGTTGTTCACTTGGCTTCATCCCTCTTTTTAAATTATTTTTTCTTAATTAAATAAATCTAAAAAAGTCTGCCAGACAAAAGAATTCAAAATGTCTAGAAAACAATTCAAAGTGTCTAAAAAAAACTAAACAAGAAGAGTTTAAGGCCTTTTATCCCCCCAGAATAGCTCAGTTATCGTTGATATCATTTTGCATACTTCACAGCTTGCCTAGAATAAACAGTGCAGTAACAAAAGTTATTGAAAAACAGAGTCCCCAGAGTTCTCCTGTAGCATAGGACAGTGAATGTTCATGGCTGGACAGC